GAGAGAGAGAGAGAGAGAGAGAGAGAGAGAGAGAGAGAGAGAGAGAGAGAGGAGAGAGAGAAGAGAGAGAAGAAACGGAGACAGAGATGTGATGCTGACGGAGGAGCAACAGCAGGTAAGGTTATAAGGTTCGGGCTGTTGGCTCCCGTTGCCCTGTGCGTTTTACTCTCTGCAGTCTACTTGGATTTGGAGTGAAGCAAAAATGAGGTTTGTTGAGATGCTTTGCGGCAGTTTTAAATGCCCGGGGCTTGTGAGTGCGCTGTGTGGCCAGGAAAGGGGATGATTAGTGCCTCTAGGAGGGGGAAAGGAGCATTCTCTAACCACTTAATTTTCTCTCCAGCCCCTGCCCAGTGGTGGAAGGGAGAGGGGATAGCTCAGTATTTCTCCAAGAGATTTCCTGGGCCAGACTGGATGGTTTCACAGGCATTATACACGCCCGACCCTCTGCTGCAGGGATGCAGATTTCTCTATACACTCAGTGCGTGTGTGCGAGCCGCGCACTTTGGTGAAGGTGGGGGGTCCCCGCGTGTGTCCCTTTGAACGTTTCTTGTGTCCCTCTCAAAAGAAGTGGACTGCTGATCCTGGACGTACCCTACTAGGTAACAAAATAGCAAAGACTTTTACCGCTCGGTCCATCTGGGAAACAGTTACAGTTTCTGGAATAGTACTCGCTCTTAAAAAAAAAAAAAAAAAAATACTACGCAAGGGAAGAGGGAGGGAAGGGAGTGGAGGAGGTTGGAGGTTGGAGGTTGGATCCTTTGCTCCCATCCAAAGGTGGGTGAGAGAAACCTGAGTCTATAGGGATATGCTGGCTGGCCGGCATGGTGGGTATTGCTCCTGTTCTTGCGTGTGTGGATTCTGCCTGTGACACTTTGGCTCTGTGTCAGAGAATGGTGAAGATTGTGTGTGGACGAATGATAGATGGCATTTTTCCGGGCAGCTCTTAAAGTTCGTTTTAAGTGAGCAGCTTGGGATTTGGTTTCTTTGCTGTATGCATGTCTACTAGAAAGAGAGAAGCCAGAAGGGCTGTGTTGTACAGTGACCCTGTGCCTCAAGGGAGGAAGGAACTGTCCCTTTTCAGGCACCCTCTGAAGTAGACCCAGTGGGAAACACTTCCCAATTAGCCTATCTCTGTTGAAGGGGGCATTGATGCCTCTATATGGAAGCCATACTCTCACCAAAAGCCGGGGTATCAGTTTGGGATTGAAATTGATATAAATCAGCTGCTCCAAGTGAGAGAAGCTCTAGGATACAAAGCCTGTGCCAATGCAGGAGATGAAGAGGGAAGGAGACTCCAAGAGGTCCTTTCCTCAGAGGAAAGAGTGAGGCGAATGTGGGCAGGGGAGCAATGGTGATGGATCTGCTAGGGTTGAGGTTTACAGACTTGGCTTTCTGGCTTGAGACTTCGTTTTAGGACACCAGTTTGTAGTAAAAGGGGGAAATGCAGACTGATTAATAAGAGGCTAACAGGAAACATGTGGGGTTTTAATATGACTATGTTGTGCTTTTCAAAGGACCTAATAGAATGGAAAGCAAGAATAGCTCCTAGTTAAAGAGACACTTATGGGGATAATTTCATTCTGATTTGCAGAAGGCTGACATCCGCCCTGATGTATATTTAGATGCTGTATATTTCTGTGAGCCATGCCAATGCTCTTGGTCATCTCTTTGCCTTTGCAGTGGGTAAAGGAATTAAATGGAAAGCATGCAAGGGTGAACAGATGAATTTTTTTCTCAGTTGCAGTATACTTCTGCCCAGGAGATGAGGCCCAGAATAGATGCCTCTTAAGAACCTTTCTTTCTGTCTTTAGCTTTTCTAATTCTTTGTGCTTTTACCTTCTCTAAGGCTGAACTTTGATGTAGTCCAGGAAAGGTTGTTCATTAACATTTCCAATATTAAGGCTAATATAACCTTACACTCAGCAACCAAATAGATGGGGACCTCAGGTTTGCATCCTCTTTGAATTTATCTAAATGGGTTTGGAGCTTTGATAGTGGGATATAAAAGGGCACCTAGGACAACTTTGCTCAGAAATATGCAAAGACCTTTCTTCGGGATTGGATGAGACTGCCTTTTGTGTCATATGACTTTATTCTTTCTTTCCCCCTTCCCCTTCTTTACAGACTCTTGAGTTCTTCTTGAATTGCCAGTTTTCAGCCTCCTCATGCCTCCGTCTCCTTTAGACGACAGGGTAGTAGTGGCACTATCTAGGCCCGTCCGACCTCAGGATCTCAACCTTTGTTTAGACTCTAGCTATCTTGGCTCTGCCACCCCAGGCAGCAATAGACACCGTCCTGTCATCGCCACCACAGTTGTGTCCCTCAAGGCTGCGAATCTGACGTATATGCCCTCATCCAGCGGCTCTGCCCGCTCCCTGAATTGTGGATGCAGCAGTGCCAGCTGCTGCACTGTGGCAACCTACGACAAGGACAATCAAGCCCAAACCCAAGCCATCGCTGCTGGCACTGCCACCACCGCCATTGGAACCTCTACCACCTGCCCTGCTAACCAGATGGTCAACAACAATGAGAATACAGGCTCTTTAAGTCCATCAGGTGGGGTGGGCAGCCCTGTGTCAGGGACCCCCAAGCAGCTAGCCAGCATCAAAATAATCTACCCCAATGACCTGGCAAAGAAGATGACCAAATGCAGCAAGAGTCACCTGCCAAGCCAGGGACCTGTCATCATTGACTGCAGGCCCTTCATGGAGTACAACAAAAGTCACATCCAAGGAGCTGTCCATATTAACTGTGCCGATAAGATCAGCCGGCGGAGACTGCAGCAAGGCAAGATCACTGTTCTAGACTTGATTTCCTGTAGGGAAGGCAAGGACTCTTTCAAGAGGATCTTTTCCAAAGAAATTATCGTTTATGATGAGAATACCAATGAACCGAGCCGAGTGATGCCCTCCCAGCCGCTTCACATAGTCCTCGAGTCCCTGAAGAGAGAAGGCAAAGAACCTCTGGTGTTGAAAGGTAATGCCCCTGTTCTGTCCCAAGCACAGTCCCATTTAGCTGGGTTCACTTTGGGGTTTCTCCTAGCAGTGGCAGCCTTCTCCTTACCCTGGCTACCAGAGAACAAAACAGACTCTCTTCTTGTCTTCTCTGCCATGCCCTTTCTTTATTATTTTGGTATAGTGAGAAAAACCCAGCAGCACTGAGTTGGAAGTCAGAAGATCTGGGTGCTACCCTTGATTCGGCTTCTGATTTGCATTGTGCAAGTCATTTCACCTCTCTGAGACTGTTTTGTCATCCTTCTAAAAAGGGGCTTTATACCACCAGATGGTGTCTCAAGTCATGCCTGGTCTGGTGGCTTTCTGTTCCAGTCCATAACTAATTGGAAAGTTGCTGTCTCTCAGACCTAACCAATGTTGATGAAACAGAGGAAGCAACTCTGGTGAACTACAAGTAAACCTACAGGTACCAGCTCTTTTTGTGGGAGATTCTTCCTCTTTCTCACCTCTGATCAGCTTGACTTTTATATAGCTTATAAAATGACCTTCAAGAAGGGCAGAGATTTATTTGTAAAATGGAAGTGTAAGTTCATCGAATACCTCCATTCCTTTGCCAAAGCTCCAAGGGGACAGATTTTTATGAAACACTTTCCAACTCATTGTACTGTTTTGGCTTCACCTGATAACAATTGGCATGGTGGTTCCTCCCAAGAGGGAGTAGTAGGTCACCTTGCCAGTACACTGAATGTAGAACAACTCTGAGGTTAGTGAAGCTGAGCCCCAAGAGGAGGAATTAATTGTCCACTCTTCTCTGAGCCCCTTCCATACAGTATTATCTAACCTAGCAGAGGAGCCCTGATCTTGTGTCCAGCCTAGTTGCAATTCTTTGCTCTCAGACACTGCACCTCGTTTCTCTTTGGCATCTTCTACTTGGTGACAGTAATGAGAAATAGT